CGGACGGCCCGATATGCGATCGTTTATGGTGGGAACCGCATAACTTCACCTGGTGGAGAAATCAGTTGGATCAAGGGGGCAGCTGATCCTTACATTCTCGGGATACGATAAGCTTCTCGGGGGGACTTATTGTGCCGTTGGTAGCTGAAGTTTGCAGTACTTGGAAAGCTTTGCGTGAGCTCGTACTTGAGATAAGTGAGACGGGTGACAGTTAGTAGGGACGTGTTTTATGGAAAGTTGTAGTTTGGAGAATCAATGACGTCGGTGCCGCCTGAATCGTCAGAGGCAGAGAGAGCGAGAGAGATAGAGCGAAATAGAGAGCGAGAGAGAGAGAGAGCGAGACAGAGAGTGCGGGAGAGAGAAGGCGAGAGAGAGAAGGAGAGAGAGAGAAAGTTGAGAGAGAGTGGGAGAGAGAGTGAGGGCAAAAAGACGACAAGTAATATTTTGTTCTTTTCTCCCCCGCATTCCACCCGAACAATTTCCGGCTTTCCATCCTCCAGACACCCGGTTTCAAATAAATGAATCGGGGCAGAAAAAGTGCGGTTTTACCGGGCTTCCCAAATATTATACACCTTGCCCTATTCCACTAACGCGGCGCAAAACGGCTTGTTTTGCTAAAAAATTGAGACGGGCTTGTTTGGCGAGCATTCGCTACGCAGAATACCGTAACCAAGGAAAAGGCTTCATGGATCTTTGCATCTTTTTGGGTTCTCCCAAATTTGGGAGGGGAAAATGCGGGAAATGGGAAGTACGGCGCGGCGACGGGAGGAATTGGGAGGGAAGTGGCGGGGTAGAAGCAGAGATCAGTCAAATTCCAGTTTGGGAAATTTGGGAAATGATTGGAGGTGGAGTGGATGGTGGTTATCTTTCATTGTCTGTTAATCAAAATGGGGCAGAAGAGAAGAGGGGAAGAGGAGAGGGATAGTTGGCAGGTTACGGTAGCGTCATCGGGTGGGCGATCAAGAACCATAGGTTCGGACGGGTCGCTTTGACTTATTGGCTGCGAAATATGCCTATGATGGACTGCAAACAGCTAAGAAATGGCTTCCAGAGCTCTGGAAATTTCCTAAAGAATCTTTGCTATTTTGCCTGATGTTATAGAATCCATTCTGAAGTGGGTATCTTGAGAATTTCGGAAACTCCAACGTTCCGTTACCTGATTGTTCTGATTTCTTAAAGTATCTCTGCATGTTTGCTCGATTTTTGTCGGTTTGAGCGTTATTGAAGTTCCAAATGCTTAGGCGATTTATGAAATTCAGTGGATGTCAAATCCTATTTTTAACTGTCAATCCGATTTCCCCGAAATGAAAGATCAATCCCACGCTCCCCCATCTCTTGCTCCCCTTTAAAGATGAGGCCGATCCATGTCAGGGCATCCGGTGCTCGTTCCCCCGGTCCTAGAGAGCGGAGGTCGTGACGTCACAACATGTTGGCCGATGATCTGGGCGGAGTCGGTACTCCGGGGAAAACATGGTCTATCACCCACTCTAACCCCCGGACTGCTCAACGGAACATTCCCCTGCCCCCCGTGCAAACCCTATTTTCAGCCCCGCACAAAATTGCCGCGGCTGGCAGTTGGAAGGGTCGATGGTTCGGTGATAGCCCGACTCATTTCCGGCTTCCGTTTTGGGGCTTTTGGCCTGATACGTAATTTTCGGGGGTGTGTATATGTATTGTTTTTTGTATTCTACAGTATTTCTGTAGCTCAACAACAAATTAATTTTAAACATCATTATTGGGCCCTTCATGGAAATTTGATCAATTTACTTACATTTTTGAAACTCTCTTTTTTTCCTGTCGTAGCCGAAAATTCCTATCAAATTCTTGTCACCTTACCCTCATTTGTATAAAGCGATACGGCATGGTGGTTATTTTTCTAAATAGATCTCAAATTCCTTGGGAAAGTTTGAGTTCTGTGTCTTAAAAGATACCCCAGATAGAATTTGCTAGCATACCCTCAGGTATATAACACGGGAAATTTTCGTAAATAATTTTGAAAATTCGTGCAAAACGTGGAATTTCACGGTCTAATCAGAAGTTCCCAAATGATCTTCGCAAGCATCTAGTTTTGTTCGACGGTGGTTACTTGTAAACCTATATTTTTCTCGCTTTTTTAACTTCGAAACTTGCAAGCTACTTTGCCATACCTCCCCAACCTTCTTCCCATTATCTTCTCCGTTCCAAACCACCTCCGAATGCCCGCAAAAATCATTCGACGCGTCCTCCGCCTCCCCCTTGCCTTCCAAAGATAAAAGATTTTTCATCACTTTAGCCCTGAAACTCGGTGCTTCTCGTCTCCGTGTTGGGGGACTCGGGTCTGCGTGACTCCATATCAAAGGCGACGTGCCGGGCTTATCAGAAAGGCCAAAGTCAAAAATTCGGGCCCTCAGTGTGAGCCATTCGAGCGGTGGAGGGGAGGCATTGGTTGACACGTCGCTCGGTCACGCATTTCGTTCGATGGTCCGTCTTTTGCAGAATGGGATAGATTTTTTTGGGGTATTGCTTAAATTTTGTGTTTTATTAGGGCAGCTTTGGCTGCAGCTTGTAGTTTACTGCAGCTCTCTCTCGCTTTCTCTCTCTCGCTGTATATATCTCTCTCTCTCTCTCTCTCTCTCTCTGTCTCTCTGTTTCTTGCGGTCTTTACATACCTGAACTAAAAGGGTCCTATCTGTATCCAAATTATCTCGATCTCGCTCTCTCTAGCTCTTACTTTATCTCCCTAGCTCTCGCTCTCGCTCTCTCAGCCCGAACCAAAGTCCATTTTTTAATCCACGTCGTGCAACCAATTCCACTCAAATTCATTACCCCAGAATGGCCACACTGTCCCCCTGTTGTCCAATTTGCCTTCTGCCAGTTGTTTGTTTGTGTCCAAATTCTCTCTCTGTCCAATACATCCCAGTAGTGCACCCACGATGAACAGACCAAAAAGCAACAAGAACAGTGGGCGTGTCTCCCTTCCGTGCAAAAGCTTTAGGGCCCCCTCCCCTATGCCCCCCCACCCAGCAGCCTCAGATAGAGCTTTGGCCTTTGGGCCCGCTATGTACTTCCGTGTCCTCCGCCCTCCACCTCCTCCTCCTTTGGGCCCCTAGTCGGGCCCCCCTAGGGGACCAACGGACACTTCAGCTAGCTAGGGGAGGGCCTCGCATTTTTTAGCTTCTTGGCCGCGGCCCGGAAATAGCCTCGGCGGGCCCAGGGGCGGAAGCTAGCTTTGCCCGCTTGTTCCCCCGGGTTGCACCCAGATTTTGCAAAATTTTCCGGGGGGCTCCTTTTTGGGATTCTATTGTCCTGTGGTGTGGGTTTTCGTTTGGTGCTCAGGTGGGGTTGAAAGGCTGGCGTTTTTTTCCGGATTTTTAGGTGTTTTCTGTGTTTTGGGTGTTGCTTTAAAGTTTATCTAAAGTATTAACTCTCTAAAAAACTAAGCAGTTACTTGGGGCAATCTAACAGAGATCATCGGCGATCAAGTATTTTCGCGCAATTTTGGTTACATTTCAATCTCGCGCTCTCTGTCTCTCTCTCTCACTCTCTCTACCTCTCGAACCCATCCAATCCCAGCTCAAAATTTGCTTTCCACGAAAAATAATATTTTGGTGCTTCATAGCAGCTGAACCCTTTTGCAAACGACCACCCTGTTTTTCTGGGGCTCAAGCCCTAAAAAGCCCCGGACTATTTCTGTTCTCATTTTGCTCTCGATATTCACCCATTCGTCAATTAACCGGATATAAGGTGCGGGTGATCCCCCCTGTGAACTACAGAAGCCCGTTTTGCGGGCAATTTTGGCCGAATATTTCTCCATCTCTGGCGGCTCCACCATTCGTCAACCCTTTCCGATTTTTGGGGGGTTAGCAAGGATCCTGTTGATCGCTCAAAAGCCAAAGACAAAACGTTGGGCAGCAAAGTCCAACGGCATACGGTAGCCCTTCCTAGTTACCATATGCCCACGGTACCACCCGCCGCCCCGTTGGTTACCGTAATCCCCACCCCGGCCTGATTAGCTTGCTGCGATTCCGGGAGCTACTTCGTTTTTTTCATGTTTTCCTCGCACAGTTTTTCCGCGCGGAATTAAAATTGTTTTTGAGGTTGCGATAGGTTAAATTGCTGTTCGTTCGTAAAGTGCAGGGACGTAGGTCGCGAGAGAGAGAGACCCCGTGGTACGGTAATGACAAAAATTGCTGAAAATCCCCTCCCCCAGGCTTGAGTAGGCCACGCCCTCTTTTGCCGGATCCAAGATATGCCCTCGGGGTGGAGAGGCTGAAAAGTGCATTTATAGAAAGGGGGGGCGTGGCGGGTAGGTTGTGGAGGGGTATGTTAGTTCAAATGTTTTGGGCCATGTTTGGACAGTTCTGGGGTGAGGGCTAAATTTTGGTGGTGGCCACTTCATTTGGCTTTGAATGTCGATGCCCTCGGGCTTTGAATTTCGTCCATAGATGGACTTGTAGAACAAAATTCGACGTCTGCTAGCAGTACACCATTACCGTAACCTAAAAAAATTTTTGGAACCCGTTAGATCTCAAAAAAGGTTCATTTTGCCCGTAATTCTGCTTCATAAAGCTATTGTTGCCCATGTTTTGACCCCCTCTATTTGCACAGTCCAATATCCATGTCAGCTTCGATTTCACCAGTCAAGGGCTTTCCCGAGTTCGGATCGTCTGACTCTTCAAAAATAGCCGATCGTCGATCGGTCGCTTGGTGGTTTTGTGGGTGGAGAGGGGCCAGATGATGGGACACAATGGCAAATATTGGACTGCGAGAATGTCTCTCTCTCTCGCTCTCTTTCCCCCCCTCTCTCTCTCTCTTTCTCAATCCGTGTGTACGTGTGCTTCATCTTCGCTCCTTCCCACTCAGTCTCACAATTTTCCGATCCTGCTGATGGGCCCGAGTCAACTTTTCCGAAAATAACATTTGTGCATTCTGTTGATTCTCAGCTAGATTTTCTCGTGCCTCACTTTCCATTCGACGTTACAGTCATCATACTCGAATGTAATTATCGAAATTTTCTAGAAATGGATCACCACATTCTCCTAATGACCCCCTCGGTCTCGCAATCATCCACCGACCTGTGCGTCGTCTGCGGCGACAAGGCCATCGGCAAGCATTACGGTGCCGTGGCGTGCAACGGCTGCAAAGGTGTGTATTTTGTTCTGTTTTTCCCCTCGTAGTCAAGGGTTACGGTAGTCCCAGGCTGATTATGTAAGGTAGGAAACGGAAAACTTGTTTTCCACCAATTTTCCACGCATTTTTGCATCAAATCTAAGCCGAGCCCGGAAAACGTAAGCTACCGTATCCTTCAGGGTGTTTGCACCTCAATTGTTTTCCACTCAATTTTCTCACATTTTTATGTATAACTAAGACTAGCTAAGATACCGTAGGCTACCGTAACCCGCAGGGTGCTCAAAACCCGATCAATTCTTGAACCGGATAACGAAAAACACTAGATCGGGGGATCGGGATACCAAATGATCAACGACCATCCCCCAACCGTAGCTTTTGCCCTCTCGCTTGTTCCCCCAATTATTTGCGCTTTTTCAGGATTCTTCCGACGATCGTGAGTTCTTCTCTTGTCGTCTTCGGTGTCTTCATCAACGGGGGGGACACGCTAGAGAGCGTGCCCGAGACAAACAGACAAACATCACAGCGCTTGTCTGCACCGCTAAGGGACTAGTGATCGTATTTTGGATTGGCGCGTAGCGTACAAGCACCCGCGCTACCGGCTTGTTCATGATGGGGTCGTTTGTCGGTGGTCGGAAGATCGAAGAAAGAAATCTATTTTTTTGGGCTAAATTAACCTAGTTCTCCGCTAGGCCATTGTACACCTCGAGCAGGTTGAGCAGCACCTGGTTGCCAGTTTTATTGGAATGAGAAACTCGGGCGGCCCTTAGTCAAAGCTCTAGAGAGGACGAGAGAAGGGGTGGGCTGTGAGTAGAAGAACCAAAGGCCAACCACAAATATTGTCTCATATGACACACACCGAAACGAGCAAAGCTGGGGGTTGGGGGAGAAGCCGAAGGAAAAGGGGAAGAAGATGAGGTATCCACATGTGGTTCGCGTGTTCCCCTATCAAAAGTCTGGTCGACCAAATCACGGGGGGATCGGCTGGTCGTTAAGCATATTTTACGGGGAAAATTAAGGTTTCGATGCCTTCGGTTTAAGAAAAACTAATAGGTTAACGCGGCTTTATTAAACTGGTTTACGTTATCAACCATTTTTTATTTTTTTGCGTCTCAACTCTTTTTAAGTCCAAAAGCTCAAGCTCGTTTTTGGAGGAGCAAAAATTCGGTCTCCCCCTAACGAACTCCCACATCCTAATCGTCGATCTTTGAGATCCCGCAAGGCTTTTGGGTGGGTGGGTCGGGCATTTTTCGTGTATCTCCCTGGTCCGGGTCCTAGCGAACACTCGATAGACACCACACGAGAGAGCGAGAGACCCGAAAGCTTGGGGTCCAGGAATAAAGAGAAGCACAAGCCCCCAAGCGGCCAGAGTTCGACGACCAAGATAATGATGAACTCACTGGAGTTTAACCGTATTTAATAATGGTAAAACCTTGAAAATCCAGCGCTTTTTAGTGTCTGGCAAAACCTACAGTACACCTGTCGCTTCAACAAGCAATGCAACATCGACAAGGACCACCGGAATGCCTGCCGATATTGCCGTTTCCAGAAGTGTTTGGCTGACGGGATGAAGCCGGAAGGTAAGTAAGCTTGGTTTTGGCTTCCCATTTTCTCCAAACACATTCTAAAACTTGTTTTTTAGCCATTCAAAATGAGCGTGACCGTATCGGGTCTACCAAGCGGAGGAAGCGTTCTTTGGGTGAGACCAACTCGGATTCGGAAGGAACTCCCTCCCCCAAAATGGACATGGCCTCAGCCTCGGCTTCTCGTCGCTTCATCGAGGCGTTGATGGACATTGAGAATCGGTTGATTGGTAAGAGGAGCTTGACCTGGTTTTAACAACTTTTTCTAGGCAACCAGTCGATGGATGCCCTCCTCCACGACAACCTTGGAAAGCCAAAAACTAGCCGCCAGTTCATCGTCAACAGCGTCATCCAGTGGTCGAACATGTTGCATCCACTTTCTGAGATTGACCTAGCTGATAAGGTAGGATATACGTTAAACCTGCCCTTCGGTATCGATTTATATGATAGATAGATTGGTATAATCGGTCTTAACCCCACGCTTTCAGGTAGCACTCCTCAAGGAAACCGCCGGCCCTTTTTCACTTCTCCAAACGATCCAACGCAGCATTGCCGTCCCACACCTCGTGCTCCCCAATGACCAGATCCTCAGCGTTTCCCCGCTCCACCCCGCCGATCTGCTCCAGGCTTTGACCAAGATTTTGGACGAGGTTTTGTCGCCGCTTCGACGACTTCACATCGAGCAGGCCGAGTTCTGCTGTCTTAAGGTGAGCGTTAAGCTTCCTGGGTTACGTTACAGAATTGTGAATATTCTGATTTTTGAATCATCCAGGTACAATGAAAAATATGGTTCAGGGATCGCAGCAATCAACAATTTTATATGTTTTTAATAGCCAGATCCATCTCACCCTGGATGAATTTTACCCAAAAAAGCACGTAGCTCGACTCTAATAGTTCATCATCAAGCCCCATTCTAAAAGGCACGTCGTCAGTTGTGCCCCCGTAATTTTGGCATTCTGGCATTGACAAGTGTGCCACGTGCCATTTCCCATTTCATCATTTTCGGACTCGGCACACACACACAAACCACGCTAAGCAAAAATGGGGGCTCTTTGGCCTATGCGGTTGTGAGATAATTATTCAAAGGAATGAGGAAGTAGACTCTTTGGGTCGGGTGTTTATGGTTACCGTCACCCGGTGGTTTTTGGATTGAAACCTTTCGAGATCGAAAAACCTGGTTATGTGGACTTCCTTAGTCATTTATGCTCATTACCTTAGAAATGCCAACCCAAATTTTTCGTTGGCTATTTATGGTTAACGTAATCTCAGAATTTTCGGTTTTTGGATTTAGGACTTCATGGCGACCGAAAAACAAGGTTCCGTGGATTTCCTGAGTCATTTCGTGCCCTTTCAAATGTCCGGAAAATTCCCACGAGCTTCTTCTGCATACTGACCACTCCAAGAAACACCACTACACCAGGGGGCGGACGATCCCAAGCCAATTAGCCTACGTGCCGCCCGTGGGCAGCAGCTATACACGACGCTGCACTGGGGGCGATTTGCAGAATAGAGTCAAAAGTTCAGCGGTGGAGTAGCCGGTGTATATCGTTTGGTGCGGGGCCACTGGCGCGAGGCAATTTAATCAGCTTCTTGTGTGGTGTGGTGCGGGTCGGTCGGGTGCTTAAGAATACCAATTGGATCGGGGAGGTCGAGAGAGGGAGGCGGAGGTGTACGTGCTTGTGTGAATGGCCAAGGTATTACTAGGGGGGACAGAACAGCTCAGGTACGGTACTTGGGTGGCAAAACAAGAGCTTGGTTAAGCGCTACCGATATCAGCATAAGATTGGTTGTCTCAGGGAAAGGTAGGCTAGCAGAGTTCGTTTTAGGCTTCCCAAAAAATTTAAAGACAAATTTTCTGCTTTAAACAAGAGTTGAATGAGTTCTATAACCCCTGTGTATCAAAACCAAAAACTAAAACAAGTTTTCTATAGCTAGCAGAGATACTGAAAACGACTTTAAAAAGTTTGGATACAATTTGGTATTTTAAACCAAACTAAACATGTTTTTTCAGGCCCTCATGCTCCTCAACCCTGATGTGAGCGGCATCTCCCTCGAGACAAAATCACGACTCCGCGACGGTCGCGATACCGTAGTCCGAACCCTGTTCACCTACCTCAGCCAGACGCAGTCCCCCGTTGATGCCAACCTCAGGTATGTTTTTAACTCAATACCACGTCTCACCCGGTTCTTACCACAAAATTATTACTTTTTCACGACTAAAATTAGCCTCATTACCTTTCTGCCGCCACATCATTGAACGATCGCTTGGTTCGTGGCCTTTACCGGCGGGCCCGACTCCGCTGGAATCCAATTTACACCTCCCCCTTCCGAATATGACTGGAAATGCACGTAACCCTAGTGGTGTAGCAGGGTTTGCGGGTCAAGTCTCAAAGTACAAAATTAGTATTTGCTATGAAATGGATATAATCCCATATATCCGTTACAGTAGTCAAGTTCAGACCGTAGAAACATGTGGGCGGATTAGTGGGTCTGGGGCCAAATTTAAAAATATCTATTAGCTTTTTGAGGGGTTCAGGGGTCATTGGATTTACGGGAGAAAAATATGGAGATTATGGTTTTCAATTCAATTCAATAATTCATCGATTTTAATCGCTAATCGCCTATTTTTATTTCCCGTTTCTACAGCTATTTTCTAGTTTTGCTAAAGTTTTTACCCGTTTTGAACCCCACGGGAAACAGCCCGTTTTTCGGCCAACGCAAAATGAGCTGGCCAGCATGGGTTTCGTCGCCCCGTTGGGTTATTGCCCATTGGTCTCTGAACGGCTCGCCAAGCTTGGGAATTTCACGAAAAATCCTCGACTTTCCAAGCGCTTTCCAAACCTCCAAAACTTACAAGCCCAAAACAACACCCAAAAAGTCAGGCGCTCCATATAATTTGGGGTGCTTTGCAGGAATTGATTAAGGGGTATTTTCGTAGCATGGAAGGGGAGGGAACGTGCAGCCAGCAATTGTCATCTGAAATTATGGGATTAGAGGCCAAGGAAAGTACAATTATCGCGGGGGGTCCCGGGTTCATTATTTTCGTACCGAATCGGAGGCAAGGGGGTTTTCGGCTTTGTTCGAATTGAAAGCGCTAAATTGGGCAGATGCTAGTGAGTACAAAAAGTGCACCGAGATTCATAAAGTCATACTATTTATAGCGACCAAAAGGAAAAACTGCCAATTATACCAGTAACCTATTAATAACGATAATTTCAGAATCTCCTCCCTGCTGATGGTGATCCCCTCCATTCAAGTGGTCACCAACCTCCTCGTCGAAAAGCCCCATATCGGCTCGATCTTCGGACTCTGCGATGGCGATGGAAGAAACGAGAATTCCCCACCGATCTCGCTCGCCACCCCGATCTGCTTGAGTCCCGAGGCGCCGGTGTACGAGCAGAAGCCCGAGCTGTTTCTCAAGGACAATATTCTGGCTAACTTCATGGTCCAGTCGACGCTGGCCGATTTGCAGAAGGGACTCCAGAATCCGCTTTTTTCGATCGCTGGTCTTCCGCCGAGCCAAGCCGGTGGATTGGCGTTGCCGTTCGGATTGTTCAACCATGGCCTATCGGTTAGTTTTTAAAGGTACTTACCACACGGTTTACATCTTAAACTACCAAGAAATAGCTACTTTTTGCCCTCACAAGCCCTTAAGGGCCCTGCCGGCCTGTCTGCCTTTTTTGTCCTCTTGAAAGCCTGAGCACAAAAACCTCCGCTTGCAGCTGCACATTTTTTCTTGAACGCTGCTCGTTGAATATTCTAGGGCTGTCAGAAAACACCTGCAGACACCCCCTCTGCTTTTCTAGGGTTCAGCGGACCTATAAATTTCTCCAAAATCGGGGGCATAACACTTTCAAATTCGCCATGATTTAAAGAACAGCACCAAAATTCAACAGCACAAATCCGATTAGAAACCGTGTTTGTATTATGGCCAGGCGGGTGGTTACAATGTTGAAAACAGAAGGATTGACCTTGTAAAGGCCTCGTAAAAACATTATAATATTTTTAACTTTCAGCTGATCCCCTCTACCACGCTGCCAATGAAGCCATTCGCCACTCAACCCGATCTCTTCAAAGTTTAATAAGAAAGCGATACCTTTTGAGGCCAATTTATCGGTCCTTTTTCTCAGATATACTCCCATTTGTTGTCTGTGATATATCAAATCCCAGTTTTTGCTACAACCGCTCGATATGACCCGATTTTTGATACTCTCTGCTGTTTTTTGTGTTTCAGTTTGTTTTTCGACTCTTCTAGTCGTTTTTGCTATTTTTTACTTTGGAAACCTATAAACCAAAACCCATCTTGCAACCACCCGAGCTTTACTCTATTTGACTTGTTTGTATAGAATTTCTGCCGATAAGTGTCGTCTAGCAAATGTGAAACAAGGATAAATTTATTAAAGCAACCAGCTTTTATGGAAATCACAAGAATTTACGGAACAACACAACATGAAAACTCCGGAAATCCCGAAATTAAAACTTTATCCTTTGCGCCAAATCATAGCCAATCGCAAACGTGTATACCATGGCTTCGATATGCAAATTCTTTTCGTTGGCTTTCATAAAATCGAGAATTTTGTCGCATTCGACAAGAATCACTTCGATTGCCTGAAAATCGAGATATTTTAAAGAGATAAGGACAGCATAAGCAAATCGAATACGCGCGGGAAAGAAAATATCTCTGCGCCTCTGCATCTGTTCAACCACATTACTGCACTCGAGCTTGTATATGATAACACTCGTTTGACTGTGGTCCATAGCGTAATGGGTTAGCCGCCAAATTTTCCCCCTTCCAGGCCCTTTAAAGCGCACGTTCAGGGAGGGGCCGTGTACTCGTCCCAACGTGTACACCCTATGGACGTAGGGACCGCGCGCACTGCCTGCCCGTGCTGTGACAAGCCATTCCCCTCCTTTGCGGCGTGGGGCGCCCCTCACCCCCTCACCAGGTTGTAGCTGTGGCTGACTGGTAGCCATCCGTGCCTCCCGAGCGGGAGGCCCGGGTTCGACCCCCGGCCGCGGCAGAAATCTTTGCTTTTTTCCAAACAGACGTCCCTGAACGTGCCCTTTAATTTAAATTTCGCCTTTCTCCTGTCCTTTTCAATCTAAGTTCGAATTTTTTAGAACGTCCGAACTTTTTCGCGCGCATCACTAACCCCTATATTTTTTCAACGGCTCCATAATCCGAAAGTGCCTGGGGGATCAGTTTTTTTCCAGCCGTTCCGATTCACGGCCATAAAAAGGGCTTCGGTGACCCAGCAAGGATTAGATTGCAAATCGCGAGTGAACGGGCAAAAATATGTGAAACCCCGGGGATTTTTTTTCAAACCGCTTATCCATGGCAAATGTTTTGCATGCCCGCAAAGATACCCAAAAACGCAGCAACGAGGCCAAGGAGGGCGTTGATGAAAAACAATTTTGCACCCCATGGTTTAAGCCGATTTCGGGGACGGGCGCACAGCGAGCAGGCTTAGGTAAATATTTTTGCACTTTTCAGATGTGGAGGACGGTGGGTGATTTCTGGAGCGACGGAAATGGGCCTGAAGTATCGCCCACCTCTTCGGATTGCAGATTTTGGGATGGGTTGGTGTTGCGCGGGTCGGTGCCATCAATTTCGACGGTGACGAACTGGACGGAGTCGTCGCTGAGGCCCGGGTCGAGACCTTGGATGCCCGAGGAACTGAAAAACGGGTGTTTTTCCTCATTTTTGCTTAAGAAAATGCTGAAATACCGTGGAAAGGAACAGACCCACGCGACCACAAGCAGCCTGTAGACTTTGACTTGACTATCCTTTCAAGGGACTACCACGGCAGCGGAAATCGGGCAAAATTTGTAAAACGCGCTTTTTCCTCGCATTTCTTGCAAACCCCGATTTTGAGCCCCACAACTGCCAAACGCATTAAAGGTACACTAAAATCTCGTTCAAAAAGTTCGGTCGCGGTGGGAAATTTGGGCTCTATGCCGCTGCCAACCCAGCCCCTTCTTATCGCCTCTCCCCTCGCCCCTTCCCGTCTCTCCCTTGGCCTAGTGGTCGAAGGCGCTGCCCCGAGCTGGCAGTCAGGGTTCGGTTTTGCTCCGCGGCGAGCGCCTACCGTAACCCTGTTTGCTATCCCGCGGACGGTTACCGGCCGGTAACCAAACGAACGAGACTTTAGTGTACCTTTAACCAGAAATATCCATGAAATTGATGGATGACCCGGCCTGCTGACAGTCATTATTTGATCTACACCAAACGATTACGATTGTTCTCTCCTCCTCCCCTTTGCAACCAAACACGAAGGGATGCAATGCGGCGTGTAGAGGGGGTGCATTTCCACCACTCTCCTTCCTGGGAGGTTGATTGATGTGGCATGCGGTTTATCTTTAAAAGTCTCTCATCCCCGGATTCTCAATCTTGCGGGGAGTCGCATTCCACGACAAATCAACAGTCCGCACGCGGATCTTTCGAATCGGGGTTGTTGGGGACTGGAAAAACCGCGCAATCTGGCTAAAACATATACTTTTGCGGAAACTGCCCAGTGTAAGATTTTCTTCTACGTTACAAGTTTGCTGTAAAACGTACCGGTTTAACACTTTTGTGGCCGTGTATCCAGTTTCTTCTGTCAGCTCTCTGAGCGCAGCTTCTTCCACCGTTTCTCCTTCATCAATCAGCCCTGAAACTCACTGTAAAGTGTTTTTACTCAACTTGGAGTTTCGATTCGGGACCAAGTGCATCTTGTACAGAATTTTTCGCTGATTCCGAATATGTTTTGCAAATTTGCTACGGACCGTTATTCTGAAAGTTATACGGCAA